TATATATATATAGTGTTTATATTATATATATATAATGTGTGTGTAGATAGATAGATCTCTATCTATATATAATTTATAGGGATGCACCAACATATCGGCCGCAAATGGCACTTTTGGCATAATGCCGAAAGTGTAATTTTCCTGCTGATACATCGGCACATCCGTGATTTCTTTCCTCCCTCTGGGCGCTGCTCTGTGTCCCCGCAGGGAGGAGAGAAACTGTGATAGCCGGCCGAGCTCTGCGCTGTGAGTGGCCGGCGTCTCCTCCCACACCTCTCAGCCTCCTATCACAGTCCGGCAGAGCGCTGTGTGGGCGGAGACAGCCGCGCTGTCACAGAAGGCTGAGCTCTTCTCCCTACACTGCTCGATCAGCCTCCTGTGTCAGAGAGGAGAGCAAGGTACAAATACTCAGCGATCAGTGAGGACATGGTATGGTTAATATATCCTCAATTATGAATGAAATGAAGTTATGTGGATTTTTCTCTTTGTATCCCGAACAATTTTCCTGACAGTTGTGGCTAACAGTTTAGTTGGTCTTCTTGACCGTGGTTTGGTTTCAACAGAGCCCCTCATGTTCCACTTCTTGATTTAGAGTTTGAGCACTGCTGATTGGCATTCTCAATTCCTTGGATATCTTTTTAGTTCAATCTGAATTTATTAAATTTTTGAAAGTTTTTAAAATGCAGTACAAAAAGGCAAATACACAAGTTCACCTCAACAAAAATAAACACGGAACATAGTACAAAGATTACACGGGAAAGGCCATAGCCTATAGGGCGGCCGGCCTGTGGATATCATCAGCAGGATAGTCATCAGTATCTGAGCGGTATTGTTTCATCTACATCAGTGGTATTGCATGTAACACAATGTATAATATGAATACTGTAGGTCAGTACAGGCCCAGGGCCTTCTTTAACGGCTCCTCCCCATACATCACGGTACGAGGCATGAGTATAGGGTAGGAGATAAACCACTCTAGCGTATACATTATGTAGCTTATGTAGCTTATGTAGGAATGCTCATCGGATGGAGAATCAGTATCGTTTACACAAAGTGGTGGGGTGCCAGGAAAAGGAGTCCATAGGGGAAGGAGGAGGGGAGGAAGAGAGAAGTCCATTTGAGAGGGGGGGTTGAGTAGGGGGACATTGATGGAGAGGTACTTTAAGGAGAGGGTGTTACTGTGAATCCGTCGGAGTTCCTAAACATGATCCAGGAGGACCAAGTGTGGGCATATTTGTCTCCCTTCTCACGTTCTCCTGCCAAGAAGTTCTCTAGGTCAGCAATGCGGTCCATTTCCACAACCCACTCCGCAAGGGTGGGCACCACCACTGTACGCCAGTGGTGCGGGATGACAGCCCTGGCTGCCATTAGAAAGTGGCGCCCTCGGATATCTTTTTATATCCCTTTCCAGTTCTATACAGTTCAACTACCTTTTCCCGCAGGTCCTTTTGACAATTCTTTTGCTTTACCCATGACTCAGAATCCAGACACGTCGGTGCAGCACTGGATGAAGGATGCAAGGGTCTGTCAGGAGGCCAAAAGCGCATTGACCTTTTACACACACACACACACACACACACACACACACACACACACAACTACCTTTTGTGTCAACCTGTGTGCATGTTATCAGGCCAAAATCACCAGGGTATGTAAACTTTTGATCAGGGTAATTTGGGTAGTTTCTGTTGTCATTATGATTGGAAAAGAGTAAACACAGTTGATTGATAATGGCTTCAGCCAAACACTGCCCATGAGTGACAGGTTTTCGTGTTATCATTCATATTCTCTGAAACGTGTCCTGGAAATCAAAAATTCTGCCAGGGTATGTAAACTTATGAGCACAAGTGTGTATCACATTCTGATACTGAGTATTTGGGTGAATACTCGTACTTGCCCGCTATACCAGAACTTCAGATGAGAGGGGAGATTTCCTCTGACAGGCAGTGCCACGTGGGAACATGAAGCTGGCTTCCCAGCCAATCAGCATTGAGCCAGCCAAACAGCACGGAGACAGCTTCCCGGCCAATCAGGATGGCGCATAATGACCCACCTTTCAGCTTCTTGATTGGCCGGGAAGTCGGCTGCATGCTGATTGGCTGGGAAGCCAGCTTCCCAGCCAATCAGCATGGAGTCGGCTTCCCGGGTAGTGACATACCGCCTGGCTTCCTGATTGGCCGGGAGGCTGGCCACACTATGCTGATTGGCTGGGAAGCCAGCCTCCCGGCCAAACAACATTGAGCCGGCTTCTTGAGCAATCAATAAGCCGCGCGGTGGGTTATGACACGGCGGCTGGCTTCCTGATTGGTGTGAAACCGGCTCGATGCTAGCGGAAGTATCGGCGAGTACCGAAAAATGTATGTATGCATTGATTGTGCAGAAAGGCGGTATGCCGATTGAATTATTGTTTGTAAAGCATAGATATAGTTGTATCTCAACACTTTTGAATGATTGCTTTCACAGCTGTTCTACATATGTTGGTATCCATTTGGGTAACATCTAAAGAATATGTAGAAGCACAATGAGATCTGAACCTGGATTAGGCTTGTGCTTGGTTCAGTAAATGCAGAGTAACATGTCCCGCACTCGATACTAACCAAGATATCCATGCTCTAGTTCTTTTCTAGTGCATTACTCATGATATCTGGGTCAAAGGAGTGCTAAATTAATTTCCGTAAGAATTTAAGCTCGGAGTGTAAAGTGACGCTCTGGGTTATAACTTATTGTACATATTTTTGAACATACAAAATATGTCTTTGGGCTTCTGGACTGCATTATGCATTGGTCATTGAGAAGTATTTCTGTTCAGTATTGTATTATAATTGTGCTTATGTTACAGCATTTCCTTCAAAAGTGTAGACCGTTTTTTTATGTGCATTGTTTTGTTTTTGCTGGGTGCCAATTATTAAGGCTTTTTATATATGCTGAATAATAATTGAAACTGAATAACCCACCTGTTTTTCCTCAGTCCTTCAATATTTAAAGTGGTATTAAAGTTAAAATAATCTTGAGTCGGCAACAAGAGATGCTGCTCGTGAGATAATTTTTTTTTAAAACACACCCGCTGTCAGAATGCCCAAACAGTCGGTAGCTCATTGCCTGCTGGCTCTGTTTGTATGCAGATTTTCCAACCTCCTCCTTTTTGATCAGCAGAAGGGAGGATGTCGGACGAAATGTTACCTTTGTGCTAATTTCAAGCGATTCCTCCAGAACCAGATGAAATTCGCACAGTGTATGGCCACCTTTACCTTGCCATTAACTACTGTGCATTTCAATTTCAGACTAACAACACTTAAGGATCTTCTTGTAATTAGCAGCAATGTTGTCAGTTTTTCATGCACGTTACTTGAAGTTGGCTGTTGGACTGCCTATCAGTGCTGCTGATAAATAGAAGGCAGTGGCTTGGCATTGTTGGGCTGAAATAGGTAGTTATGTTTACTGGCAAGATCTCCCAGGTAGAAAAAGTTTGCAACGAATTCTCAAAATGTATTTGTTATATTTAAAAAGATGGATTGTGCACTTAAGAGAGCGGGACACAAGAGAGCGGGACACAGTTTTAAATGTCCCTTTTTTTATGTGCTTATGTGTGCCCTCTAGAGTGCGTGAGCACTGCACTGTGGCAGCACTGTCTATTAGAAGATGTCTCTGTGCCATGTGATCGCTTGGACCAAACGCATCATCTCATGTGTGAACAGTGGCTGCATTTTGCAGCATGCTCTCTTTCCCAGTCAGGAGTAGACTAAGGTAGATGAACCCCTCAGAAGTTAGTAGGGATTAATTGCACAGGCGTGGCCAGGAGAAGTCAGAGACAAACCTGGCCCGTCTGAATTTGGTAAGTATTCATATCTGCACAGGGATTGGGATGTCTGCTTAAAGGAGCCTAAATAAGTGCACTTTCATTTAAAATGCAGTTATCCTTTAACACATCAATCCTCAAGTAGTTAATTATCTTCCTCCCCTTTTGAGAGCAAGACGCCAACACTTGTGGTAGCTGCTTGTTTTAGATCCTGGCTGTCAATGACATCCAGTGTCCCCACACTAATCAAAGTGCCTCCCAATCATATGACCACTATGTCAGCTATGACATAGTGGTCACATACAGGCTAGAGGCTTCACTGACAAAAATAAAAGCCTTTAGCTTGCAGATAAATACCGCCACCTTCATGCTGCAGTTGCTACCTATCAGCAGTGTGCATGTCGGAATCGGTTGCGCTATTAAAATTATGAATTACAAAATAGAGAAAATTTAAGGACAGTTGAGGTAAAAATTATAAGAGGGATGTGGGGGGAGGCTACAGGGTGATAATGCTGTATACTGAACATGTCTGTTAAATCTGCAGAAACTGATCATCGATGAAAAGAAATACTACTTGTTTGGGAGAAACCCTGATATGTGCGACTTCACCATTGATCATCAGTCTTGCTCCAGAGTTCACTCAGCCCTAGTCTACCACAAGCATTTGAAGAGAGTCTTTCTCATAGATCTCAACAGTAGTAAGTCCTGTTGATAAGCAGTTGTATTTATGACCCGTGTCTCTCACCCCAGTCATGCACAGGAATGTCTTTTTTTGTCTGTTATTCTCATGTGCAATCCCACTTTTATTATTCTTTTGTTTTAGAAAAGTTTTATTAAGGTTTTGTAAGATAAACAGAATATCATAACAAACCAATGTGTTGGTTAGAAATACATGCATTGAAATGTAAAACAGTTGAATTTCCAACAATATCAAGCAAAATAGGAAGAAAGGGAAACAGACACATATTGACATGGTGGTCACATTATTATTGTAGAGCTGCAGCTAACGATTTTTTTCAAAATCGATTAGTTAGCCGATTATTAAGTTCGATTAATCGGATAAAAAAATTAATACATTTTAAAAAATGGCTCAAGTGATGGGACTACTAGTTTGTATTGAGATTGTAGTCCATCACAGGAGCAAGCTTGGATCAGTGGAAGTAAAAAAGAAAAAAAAAAAAAGTGTGGTGTGCAATATAGTGAAATGAAAAGTGAAAAATTATACAGCAATGATGAAGAATGACATCGGCTATAGAGGACTACAAATCCCAACAATAGTACATTATACAGCACAATGCAGAATACCACCAGCTATAGAGGAATACAACAAATCCCAGCAATAGTACATTATAGCTGGCGGCATTCTGCATTGCGCTGTATAATGTACTATTGCTGGGTTTTGTATTTCTCTATAGCTAGTAGTATTCTGCATTGCGCTGTATAATGTATTATTCCTTGATTTGTAGTCCTCTATACAGCGCAATGCAGAATATCACCAGCTATTTAGGAATACAACACATCCCAGCAATACATTATACATACATTGTATAATGTATTGCTGGGATTTATATTCCTCTATAGCGGATGGTACATTGCTCTGTATAATATAAAGTACAGCACCATGTACCATCAGCTATAGAGGAATACAAATCCCAGCAATACATTATAGAGCACCATGTGTGGCAAAGTCTTCCAGCAACTTGTTTCTGAGATCGGGCCTATCGGCGGCTGGCATCCGCCCACATCTGCTCCTCCTCCCTGCGACCCTGTGCCGTTCGTGGATGTGGGCGGTGAGCGTGAGGCGGGGAGGAGGTGCGGTGTGTGGAGCGTGGATGCGGCCGGGCGGGTCTGGCAGCGGCGAGCGTGAGGTGGAGGTGTGGCGCGCAGCGTGTGTGGAGCCGTGAACAGGGCCAACCAATCGGAAGCCAATTAATCGATGATTGAAAAAGTTGACAACTTTTTCAATCGATTTATGTCAATTAGTTGTTGCAGCCCTATGTTATTGCATTTTCGGTAAATTCCTAATCTGGTTCCCAGGTATGAGATCAATGGCCAGTGTGGCCGGTTTGCCTGAGAATAGCACGATTTTGTATATAGAGTAGAGATTATACGGTAATTCTCGTCTTAGTAGGTCTTAGTGTGTCGATAAATTACACAGTGGCTCGGGTTAGCAGGATTGCAGGTGTTCTATCGAAAGCTCCAACTCCTCGAGTTCTCCAGCTGCCTGACTTACGGTTTAGTTAGAACTAAGAGTTTTGGCCAAGAAAGCTCTTCTGCACGAGCGCCAGCCGCGGCATTGCCCTATACACATACACCACAGCAGTGAAGTAATAAAATGAACTAGGATCACACTAATCCAGCACGTTATTAATCTCAGGTGCCCCACTCAGGCGGCGGCCATATTGAGTGGGGCACCTGAGATAATGTATTTGTGTGATCCTAGTTCATTTTAATACTTCATTGCTGTGGTGTATGTGTATAGGGCAATGCTGCGGCTGGCGCTCGTGCAGAAGAGCTTTCTTGGCCAAACCTCTTCTAACTAAACCAGAAGTCAGGCCGTTGGAGAACTTGACAAGTTGAAGCTTTCGATAGAACACCGGAAAACCCACAAGGAAGAGAGTCAGAAATAGGTATAAGAGAAGAGGGGGGAGGGTCCAAAGGGGGGAGGTAAGGTAGGGGATTGGTAAAGTGGTGGTGGAGTGTGTCGGAGGGTATAAGACAGGAGGTACCTAAGTACGATGAAGAGGTAAGGCATGATGGGTAATGGGGGAGCCGTTTCAGGAGTAGGTGTAATCTCAACCAGTACACGCCACTTTGTAGACCAGTAAAGTCATCAATAGTAGTAAAATAGGTCCAACAAGCCCACATTGCTCTGAAGCGATCACTTTTATTATTCTAACATTAACGTGTATTTCCACTTTTGCAGTCAAATCTTTTTAGTTAATCTGTTGAGTAGGCCTTTGGACAGACTACTACAAGCTACAATTTTAAAGTGACAAGGAACTCTGACTGTTCCCAAAGAAAGACTAGTGACCCTGATCTACCTCTCATTAACACGCAGTGCTTCTAGATATTTAACTCTGTTAGGACAGACAGTGTTCAAATTTATGTTGGGTATACGGTTCCTGATGAACTGGACAAAACTCGCATAGTGGGTGCCCCTGTTGCCACCCTTCCATCCAGCTTCCCGTGATCAGCAGATTGATGGAGCAGGTTGAGAAATCTTCAGTTGAACGGAGCTTGCAGCCAATCAGCGGCTCCTGTCAGAATACAGTTCAAACAGCAGGGGATTTGTCCATCCATGCTCATAAGTGTGGATATAGGAATCTGTTCTATTTTTTTTTTTTTCATACAGCCTGCAGGTTGAATGGAAATAAAAATTAAATTGTGTATACCCTGCTTTAGTTTACAACTGATGAGATTTGCAAGTGGAAATGCATTTAAAGGGGTTTATAATATATGTACAATAACAAAGAAAGTTTTTTTCATTACCTATTTTTTGATGGGCAGTGAAGCCTGATGTGTCAGAAAGCAGCTTGCATATTTAATCCACAAATATACCTGCCCCAATATCAAACTGTACATTTTGAATACGAACAAGGTTTTTTTGAAGCTGTAGCACATTGTGATTATTTGCATTGGTTGATCTTTTGATGGATCTATATTTCCATTTAGATCTAAACCACTTTTTTCTTTTGTCTGCAGCCCATGGCACTTTCCTTGGACATATTCGGTTGGAACCTCACAAACCACAACAGATCCCTATTGACTCTACTGTTTCCTTTGGAGCCTCAACGAGAATGTACACCATTCGGGAGAAGCCTCAGACCCTTCCATCTGCCTTGAAAGGGGATGATAAAGCTGGGGACGATGATGAATTGAAAGGTCTCTTGGGCCTTCCGGAAGAGGAAACTGAGCTTGACGTAGGTGGTCTTGAGAGCAGTAACATGTAACAGTTGGCCAATGTCTACCTTTCAACAGTTTATAGCATTCAAAAGCTGAAAGATTACACAGATCGGTTCTAATGTGTGAGGATATTTTTCTTGTTAAAGCCTGTTGTTATTTTCTAATGTTGTAATCTGCAAGTTGCATTGCCGGTTATGAAAAGCAGATATCTTGGTTGAAATAAAGTTGTTGAGCTTACTAAACAGTATTATGCACCTTTACAGAATTTAACAGAGTTTAACACTGCACACAACAAGAGAATATCAACACTTACTATTGAAGAAGGCAACTTGGACATCCAGAGGTCACGAAGGAAGAAGAGGAACTATCGTGTTTCCTTCAGTGAGGATGATGAAATTATAAATCCAGGTGAGCCTTCTAGAATTGTTGTTTATTTGGATACTTACTGCCTGAACAATGCACCATAACTGTACCAACCTGTTATTTACCAAGTAAAGTGAAGGTTTTCATAAAAACTGAATGCTATTCCTGAAGAAAGAAGATTCTTATTAGTCAGCAGGGTCACGTGGTCGTGATCTGATCTACAGGGGTATAGTTTAGCAGGGTGCTGTGAGGTCGTTCAACTTTCATTTTTTTTTAAAGAAAAGGTGAACTAACCCTTTAACCACTTGAGTTCCAGGGCCATGTTTACCTAAATTCCTTGTAGTTCCAGGGCAATTTTATTTGTTTTGGCGATGTCTCCGTTCCACACGTCATTTAGGTTTTGTGGTTTACGAACAGATAGCGCTGTAATTTATTAGCTAATCTGGATACATATACAGGTGAAACTCGAATAATTAGAATATCGTGCAAAAGTAATTGCAGTAAGTGCTTCAAAAGGGGCCCAAACCAAGTACTGAGTACATATGCATGCTTGTACTTTTCAGAGGTCCGATATTGTTCTATGTACAATCCTTGTTTTATTGATTGCATGTAATATTCTAATTTTCTGAGATTGTGGATTTGGGGTTTTCATGAGCTGTAAGCCATAATCATCACAATTCTGACAAATCACGGCTTGAATTATCTTGCTTTGCATGTAATGAGTGTCTCATATATTAGTTTCACCTTTAAGTTGCATTAGTGAAATAAATTAACTTTGCACGATATTCTAATCGAGTTTCACCTGTATATCTTAATCGTACAGGACTTGGCCTCAACCATGGGTTATATTCTACCACCTTCAGGTGATTGAAGACTAGCAAACAAGTTTGTTAGGACAGCCCATATAAGTCCTCCTACTCCCAGCAAGCCTCAGGTTTTGTTTCTTGTGAGACATCTGTTCTATACAGCACAGATGGACCAGGACTCACATCTGGGTGAACTCTCTTTAACACTTGCCACTCTATAGCATTGCTAGTGAGTAACCCTCGAGGGACCAATCTCCCCACTCCCGCATGGCATAGTACAAGGCCAAGTGCAAGGGGAAATGGTCGAAGGGTTAAGCCAGCTTTCATCCTGCCAATGGCCCTTGGGAGTCTAGATATGTTTCCCCACTCGCAAATCTGCTATGGATGAGTCTATGGGTAGGGATTTTGCTGTTGGACCTGGAAAGTTTCTTTAGTTTCTCTCAGGTTTCCTCTCAATTCCAAACCCAGCACCCATTTCTGCTGCAAACCTAACAAAACTGGCTCCAAATGCTCTTCGCAATAAGAGGATGCCCTTAGAGCACACGTGTCAAACTCAAGGCCCAGGGGCGGAATCCGACCCACCAGGCCATTTCCTAGACTTCTACTTTCAGATCTAGATATTAAGTTATTACTAAAACCAGTGATAATGGAATGCAGAGGCAATTATGATAAAGATTAGATACATTTATATAGTCTTACAGATACCTTTGAGGGCAACCATAATGTTGATGCGGCCCACGATTGTATTGAGTTTGACACCCCTGCCTTGGAGGGACATTTGTCATCTGGACGTTTGGGTCCATATTGTCATCTTCAGGGGCTGCAAAATAGAGATTTGGACTCCACCCTGCTTTACGCCCTCAAATTTACCTGCTTCTCCAAAAAAGCTGAAGCATCTGCTGCCCTGGAGTAGTTACACTCCTTTGGCGGTTCTTGTCCCCATCTCAGCTGAGGAAAGGTTCTAGAGGTTCAGCTCTTCTTTTTGGCTTGTCACAATGCCTTTAGGTCTTCGCAAGGTGTTGACTTCTATCTTTGCTTGATTATTATCTCCAGGCATTTCTATTGTGGAGTATCTGGATAACCTCTCAATAAAGACCCTGTCTGACAGCAGTTTGTGCAGAATCAACAGAGCTTCAGATAGATCATCAATTTCTTGAAATCTGTGTTGGATCTGTCTCCCCGTCTGGGCTTGGTTTTGGACATGGCCCTGTCCAGGGAATTTCTCCATCAGGAGAACCTCCTGTCACTTCAATCACATTCTCAGTCCCTTCGGTCTAAGATTTGTCCCCCAGTTTGCTTTTTCCTGAGGGTCCTAGGCCTGATGGTGGCCTGTTTGGAAGCTGTTGCGTATGCCCAGTTTCACTCCAGGCTTCTACAACTCGCATTTTGGCTGCATGAGTCAATCAGAGTTGCTCTCTGGATCATCCCATGCATCTGAGCAGCAATGCCAGGGCCTAATGCTACCTGACACAGGCTCTATGCATGACTGTGTCAGTATGTCTGTGCTAAGTAGCAACTGATTTATACTAGATATTTACGTTGGCCATTGGTGCTAATAGGATGTAATGCATGCAGATATGATGAAAAGAAACATGCTGATGGGTGGAGGGAGCATAGTAAGAAGGGATCACTTCATCAGTGTGCTGCTGCTCCTTTTTACTGTCCTGTTTGCTGGCATATATGACACCACTGTATTCTTTACGTATAAAACCTGGCTTTGCTACCTGGAAGGAATGTATAAATGTCAGGACTAGATGGACAGAATTACAAATCTTTTAACAGCTCACCTTTTATGTTTTCTATCTGTGTATTAAACTGTTCAGTCTGGTTAGTGTAATTTCAGTCAGGTTACAGTAAGTTGATTCATCATTTGTAAACATCTATCCTAGCATAAGAAGAGCAGTGATAAGGATTTGTGTACATTATATTTGTTAATTTTCTACTTTTTAGCCACGTTCATCAAATATACTTAAAAGTTGTTTAAAAGCATGACACATGGCACTGTACACTATTAAACAGGACTAACCTTTTGAAAATGTTTTCGTTTTTAAAATGTAAATATAAGAGGAGAATGAATAGGTACGAGGCCAACCTCCAGATTTTTAGCGGAAGTTGCTTACCTACAGTTTTGCACTTTTCACTTTTTCACAATAAAATGTACAAATATTTATTAACCCAATACAGAGAGTTGGCAAAAAGTGGAGGGCAGTCCTGGTAGCGAAAGGCTTAAATAAAGAGATACCGAACGTTGGTTGAAATTTGAACTATTTACCTCTTTCCATGGAGAAGTTACAGGTCATAACATGTTTTTTCCCCCCTCTCAACAGAGGATGTGGACCCTTCAGTTGGACGTTTCAGAAACATGGTGCAGACAGCTGTAGTTCCAGTCAAGGTAAATTTCATGCTCTGCTTTTTTTATTGAATGTATTATTATTAGAATGTTTTGCAGGCTGTAAGAAGGACACAGTGGTATTCATCATATACAGGTGAAACTCGAATAATTAGAATATCGTGCAAAAGTAATTGCAGTAAGTGCTGCAAAAGGGGCCCAAACCAAGTACTGAGTACATATGCATGCTTGTACTTTTCAGAGGTCCGATATTGTTCTATGTACAATCCTTGTTTTATTGATTGCATGTAATAATCTACTTTTTTGAGGTTGTGGATTTGGGGTTCTTGGGGTTTTCATGAGCTGTAAGCCATAATCATCACAATTCTGACAAATCACAGCTTCAATTATCTTGCTTTGCATGTAATGAGTGTCTCATATATTAGTTTCACCTTTTTAAGTTGCTTTAGTGAAATAAATGAACTTTGCACGATATTCTAATCGAGTTTCACCTGTAAAGCCTTTTAGGATCTTGCAGCTAGCTTGTGTGTCTTCATGTCTCTATTCCATAAGGATTTTTTGGTTTTTTTTTTTTTCCCTTCAGAAAAAGAAAATGGAAAACCCTGGATCTCTCAGCCTGGAAGATTCTGTTGGTCGGCGTGTTCAGAACTTTCCATTTTCTGGGGGCTTGTATGTTGGCCTTCCTCCTGCCCATTCTGACGGAGGGGGACAGGCACCTGGCAGCCATGGCACATCACTAATTGGTGGAATGCTTTTCCCTAACTTGGCACCAGAAGTTGATCTTACTCCAACCACCCCCACCACTGCCACTATCACAGCTGCTCCTACTGCATCAAGCTTTGTTGCTGAAGCAGTCAATGAGCCCAAGAAGAAGAAATATGCAAAAGAAGCTTGGCCTGGGAAAAAGCCTACCCCTCTTATTTAAAGACATAAACGCAAACTGTTTTGGAATAAAAACTATACAGGGGAACTTTAAACCAGTGATTATTTTCATTGTAACAGGATTCAGAATGGTCATAATGTCCCTGTGCGATAGCATTACAGACAGGAAGTAGAATAGGCTGTAATCTTTTTTTTGTCTAGCTATTAAAACATCTTCATCAGAACAAACACACTGCTTGATATAAGCACTCGGTATGTCCTTTTGATCATGAATCTGTTACACTGTAGAACAGGGAGTATTTTGACACGGCTAAAGAGCACTCCATCATGTAATGCCTATCGTCTGGGAGGAGCCATGCGGACTAGGAGTCTGTAAGAAACCACGCCAGAGCAAGACTACAGAGAATTTTCCACCAAAGAAGGAACGTGTGTGTGTATATATTTTCTTCTCTCTGGGAAATAGAGACCTATATGCGTGTACATCGATATGGATTTTTGTATATGTTAAGTGATTTTACATCTCTGTAAAATGAAATTTACTAATGGTCTGGTTTTGTTATATTTTAGTGTTCAATACACTGTGTATATATTCCTTTAGATGCTTTCTGGAGTTTTGTTCACTTCAAAAATGTTCTCTTTGTTGAACACATTTTAATTCATGAGCGAGGAGTAAAAATTTGACACTTGCAGGTTGTCACTTTGCCACAAGTTGGTAAGTACCCTGTTTCCCCGAAAATAAGACCTAGTACTATTTTTGGGAATTGCTAAAATATAAGACCTACCCCGAAAATAAGACCTAGTTGTGACCATTACCAGGGCCGGTGGTGGCATAAGGGGGAACTTGAAGAGCCGCAGGAGAGAATCAGCGGTGCCAACGAAGCCAGCGCTAGAGGAAGCGAGGTGGCAGCGGAGGGAGCAGAGCTGCATAAGCCGATGCCGCCTCTATAGCGCCGGCTCCTGTCACAGGCGGAGTGATACCAAATGCACTCTGCCTGTGATGAATCGATAGTGAAAGTGCGCTTTGCTCATTCTGGCCAGCGATTGGTTAGCAAATTGCTCTTGGAAAGGTACGGCGCCCCTGATTGCCCTGATCACCATATTTTTGTACATGAATAAGTGTGGATTGTTGTACATTAAAAAAAAAAATAACACCTACCCTGAAAATAAGACCTAGTGTGTTTTTTTGAGCCAAAAAAAAAAATATAAGACAGTGTCTTATTTTTGGTGAAACACGGTATATGTGGTTGATGTCAAGGAGATTACAAAAGAGGAAGTGAAGGTGTTGCATCCACAGAGATAAAGTAACTGTCGTGAAAGGGAAATTGAGGCTGCCACTGCTGAGCTATGAATAGAGGAAAATACCGACTGCTAAATCCGAGCTATCATTCTAAAAATAAGGCGGAGTGATACCAAATGCACTCTGCCTGTGATGAATCGATAGTGAAAGTGCGCTTTGCTCATTCTGGCCAGCGATTGGTTAGCAAATTGCTCTTGGAAAGGTACGGCGCCCCTGATTGCCCTGATCACCATATTTTTGTACATGAATAAGTGTGGATTGTTGTACATTAAAAAAAAAAATAACACCTACCCTGAAAATAAGACCTAGTGTGTTTTTTTGAGCCAAAAAAAAAAATATAAGACAGTGTCTTATTTTTGGTGAAACACGGTATATGTGGTTGATGTCAAGGAGATTACAAAAGAGGAAGTGAAGGTGTTGCATCCACAGAGATAAAGTAACTGTCGTGAAAGGGAAATTGAGGCTGCCACTGCTGAGCTATGAATAGAGGAAAATACCGACTGCTAAATCCGAGCTATCATTCTAAAAATGCTAACCCTTACTTCGATCCTAAGAACTGGTGACCCTAAATAAGCATGCAGAATAAAGATTTAGACTTTACTCTGAATTGCTTATTTGTTCATGGTCAGAAAGGAAGGAATAGCCACTTTGGAAAGGATGAAATACATCCTGAAAAAATAAGCCATGTTTCTAGGCCATATCTCCTATGTTCAACTCTCCTGACAACCCCACTCATGCCACTTTTACTGACTGTGAAAGCAACAATAGGGGGTTGCTATCTACATAGCCGGAGTGGCTGTCAAAATGCAGCTGCCCCTGTGTAATCACTCAAACCATTAGCGTTCTTTCACGCCATAGAACTTGTGTTGTGTTGAGGAAGCCCATTCCTTTTGAATGAGCCCTTAATGCACTAAATTAGCACCTGCACGATTTTTGGCAAAGTAGGGCATCGGAACGCACAGAACACTCACATCTGTGCATTTTGTTGTGATTTGAACTAGCCGTTCCCTCATCTGAGACAGAAAGCAAAAGAAACCTTCTAAAGTGTTAAAACAGAGCACACTGCAGCATATTTCAATAAATAAAAAAACAATAATATGTCACTTACAACAAAATACCTTGATCAGGGCATATCACCAGGTAAACTCCCAATGGAGCATCAGGTCACACCAACAGAATGGTGGCAAATCCTCTCACTAGGTAGCCAGCAACAGGAGAGATGTGAGCAAGGATGGTAATCTCTGGAGTTAACCATGTAACAGCCATAGTGTGTAAATGTACAAGCATGTCCCAAAGTTAGTAAAAGAGGACAAGACCAGTATCCTGGCAGAAACATTTTCTATATCCAGCATTAATAGTTTCTCTGCATGGCCCCAATGAGAACCTAGAAATTCACACCCTATTGACTGTCTCTATATATTTTTTATATTATTATTATTATTCATGTTCCTATTTCAATGTTTTGTTTTGATGTTTCCACTCTTCTTCCTATTAATTATTTGTATTACATTTTGTTACTTTGTCACTATCTTTAGTTAGTTGTATTTGCAGTTATCAGATCTATTTTTGGATGTTGGTGACATCTAGTGGCTAGAATGCATTATTACATCTCCCAAGACTTCAATCGATGTATTCTTATAGGAGTAGCAATTTTTGTGTTTATATGGCCTTTGGATATTTGCAGGGATCAGCAGATTCTATTTGGTGCCAGTGGAGCAGGGTACATTTGAAGGTTTTCCTTTCTAAAGTGTTTTTCATTGCTGCAGTTAGGGCAATGGCACCTTTTCTATCAAAAGGAGTGCTCTTGTGTCCTTTTGTAGTCATCTGAAAGTCTCACTCCAGCCCATTTGACCGTTATCAGAATAGCATTCTTCCACCCATCAAATGGAGAGAAAGTAGGGAGAACAATAAGTGAGAAAAATATCTTAACTTGGACACAGGCAGGAACAAAAAAAACAATACTGTTAGGCCAAGATAGGTTGATAACCACTGCCATGACTTTATTATGATTTGATCCCCAATAAGGGAGGTTTCCCTCAAATGAATTGTAACCAACCACACTTAGGTGAAGGGTGTCATATCCTTCACCTGAACTGGAGGAGAAATTTCCCTTATGGGAACATGCAGATTTTAAAATCTCACTGAAAATTCATTTCAACATGGACATATACACTGAGTGGCCAGATTATTATGACCACCCCATCAGTACTTTGTTGGGCCACGAGATGACTTCGTTGGGCCGCCTCGTGACTCCACGAGATGTTGAAAGGTGATGTAAGGAATCTGACACTGCACTGTTGCCCTTCTGTTTTCTTGTACCAGTCTTGCCACTCAGACCCAGATTTTCGGCTGACAGTCCAGTCTTTAAACACTTTAACAATGAGCCCCTCTTGAACATTTAACGAATTCTGCTGTTTTGCTGATACTCGCTCCATGGCTCGCGCCAACAATCATCCCACGTTCAAAGGCTGTTAAATCGCTTTGTTTACCCATGTCTTCAGAAAAAAATCACTTCTACTGTTGTGGTAAACAACCTGCTTCCCTATTTATAATGGTCTGGCCCTCTAGCAACTTCAGCGCGAAATTATAGCTAATTATAGCTAATTTGCCTACAAACGTCAGGTGGTCATAATAATCTGGCCACTCAATGTATGTATGTATGTATATATGTATGTGTATATATATATCTATATCTATATATATCTATATGTATAGCAAAATTATAGCTAATTTGCCTACAAACGTCAGGTGGTCATAATAATCTGGCCACTCAGTGTATGCCATTTAAACAGGACAAGCCTAACCCCACCCTCTCTATCAAAAACTAAATAAAAAAAATGCAAGAATTAGGTTTTAAAGTAAACTACTTTCTACGGAATTTGCTATTTGGACATGCAATCTTGTTTGCTTTTTCTCGAAAGTAAATTCATTAAACTTTCCTCATAGTTGAGGACATTTTATGTCCCTTATTAATTTACTTGCCCTTTTCTGCTTCCACATCAACTTTTTGAGAATTGGCAATTCTGTGTATAAGCTGGAGATTGTCTGTGTTAGTGTGAAATGTCTTGTTAGCTCTAGAACAGGGGTAGGCAACCTTGGCTCTCCAGCAGTGCTGAAACTACAAATCCCATCATGCTTCTGCCTGTGGGAGTCATGCCTGTGACTTGCAATACCTTATGGGATTTGTAGATTCAGCACAGCTGGAGAGCCGAGGTTGCCTACCCCTGCTCTAGAAGCTTCAGGTTGGCATTGACCCACAAGCTGCATATTAGCTTCAGGCCAGTACATTTCATTCTATCCAGCTTAATTCCTAAGGAAGTGTCCTGAGTGACAGGTGGAGGGTGCCATTGCTACTTCTCATTCTGCAAATGCCATTTTCCTGGCTTGCTTCAATACCTTGTCCCTTGCCTGGAACAGTATGCAAATAAGGATGTCTGACTTTACACATATGAATGCTTGTTTCAGATGAGAGACTCAAGCCATACTGAATCCAGTTGTCAGTGTACTAGACGGACATCTAGCATCTTTAGGAAGGGATTGGCAAAGGCACCTCCAATATGTCTTTCTCCCTGATTTGAGGGTCCATTCACATTAAAACAATCTGTTTGTAGTGCATTAACGTGTTGCATATATTAACAATAATGTAGCGTATTCATTATGAATGAGCGTGCTACAATGGTTAAAAAAAACAAACATGGGTAGCACTTTTTTCAAAATGCAGCAGCCTACAGTGCAAGGTATGCACATTGATGTGCAGCAGTACATCTTGCATTGCCTACTATTGTACAGTGTGTTGAGGTGTCATTCACTACAAATAGCATTGCACATAGAACAGAGGCGTGTTCAGTTCCTTAGCCAAATGTTCTGCAGCAGCTTTACTGAACGCTTCGGCTGCACACTGCTAAGCAAAATGGCAGGGGATAATATTTCTGACTAATAAATATCATTTTCCAACAAATATTTGGTGTGCTCGTCCACCACAACATTAGATTGTAGGTTCCCACACTGAATTGATTTCCCCCATCGTAGTTCAGTCACCTTTCTCCAGGTGTGCGCACAGCTAAAATGGCCACTGGTGCTCTGTCCCACCTTCTCCATCACACTCAGCGCTCTGCTTCCACATTCACTTCCGCTGCGAGTGCTAAGTTAGCAGTGCCGAGCGCTGACTTGAAGCGTAGCATTCAGCGGCGGTTTGCTAACTCAGCACTCGCAGTGGCTTAGCAACTGAACGCGCCTCAGGTGTGTTGGCATGCACTGTGGCAATGTGAAAGGAGCCTAAAGCTTCTGCAAGGGTGCAAAT